TATTTTTTTATCTTTTCTACGTGATCAATCTGTAACAGGTTATATCTGTGATGAATACACTTTGCTTTCGTTGAGACTTACTCCGATTTTCCTGAATCGTGCATTGAATATTCGCTCCTTTCTCTCCGCGTCTATTTGCCGCTTGCGCTGAATGGACGCGGCCAGTTTCAGATCTTCCTTGGTCGCGGTTTGAAACTTCAGCATCGTGCCAAATTCGATCTACGCGAGGACGAGCGTAACCAGAGCACGAGTGTGAGCTTGGCCACGAAAGCCGCAAGTATCACATGGAATTCGTTACCATGGAGCGTTTGGGCGATAACGCGGCACTGCCCCGTGAAAACCTACCATGATTCCTCGCATCGAAACGAAGAATAGAAAGAGAGAGAGAGAGAGAAAGATTTCTGCTTATCGATTAAGAGAAAATTTTGATAAAGTTCATCGTTCATCTAGTCAGATTAGCCAGACCTGTCGATAATATTGGATCACGTACGATTGATAAGTTTAATTTCAGCATGATGTATTTTGACGCCGTTAATAGCGTTCGAATTTAGACGATGAACAGAATATATTTGACATACATTTGGCCGCTAATTGTCGGCTGCTAATAAGAATATTTGCATGAAAGAGTCACGTGAATAACAGCTGTCGAAGACGTAAACATGTGTCGTACTATCTGTTTTCGCGGCGAAAGCCACTGGTGACTTTGCGTTTCCGTGTTATCACGCTTCTGTGAACGTATCGATCGGCTGTAATTTGTAGCGTGTTGACGATCGCCTGCAATTGCAGAGGTTAAGACGAGAGTATGAAGTACAAATTTAGTCGCCTTCCTTTATTTCTTTTGTGTGGATGTTTGTTTCGCGTGACATCGTGTGACTCACGTCTCGTCGTTTCCTTCGACAATGAGAACTGGATAATGAGGACGGGTTGCGAATCAAACAACGTACGCATATATTTTAGAATGGCGTGGAAGGCACGTGGTAGGCACGAGAAGAACACGACGCGTGGTTTATTAAATATTCAAGCCGTTTTACGTGGATCGCGAGAAGCTCGAATGAATCGTCGTGAAAGGCAAAGCCTCTTTACGGCTTCCGCGGTTCAACACGATTATACGCTATCGATACGCGCGGCCATAGATTTTAAGTAATCGCTTCGTTTCCTCGTTTATCGATTCCGCAGAGCAAGTCATTTCTGTCTCTTATTTCATCGAAAGATTCCGTTATGCCATTAATACTGTTGGATAGTGGAAAGAAAAAGAAAAAAAAAGAAAGGCGCAAACTGACGTGATTTCACTGATCCTTAATTACGAAGACGTAACCGGATGAAAAGGCTAGTCGTTTATAACTATACTGCTAATTACTTCGCTATTACGATGCGAAACGTCTCGATGATTCTCGCGTTAAGAGAGAGTCCTGTCCGGCTGTTCGAGCGATTGATATTCTTTCGTGCGTCATCGCAGTGACGTTCGAGCAACAATTTTCGAACAATGCAAACGGATATCGCCGCTGTCACGAATTCTTCACTTCTGTCAGAATGTGTTAACATGATCTCTGTATTGAATTCACGGCTAATGATTCTAATTGTTCGTCTAATGGGGAAACGTACGTGTCTTCAGCTGACCTATATTCGACGTATCGGTCGTACGTGGCCAGAGATCGCTAGTGCAGATCTCGAAAGAGAGGTTACGCGAATAACTCTCCGTCTATATCGCGGAAGCGAATTATCAAGTCAAACCAATCGTGAAATCTAATTCTGTATCTATGGAACGAAGAAAATATTTGATCAAACTGATATGTTCTCGACTATTGAATTTTAACGTATCGAGGATCGATATTCGTTTGCGTAATTGCTGTAAACCGGAGAAAAATTACATATTTTTTACTTTCTCTTTCTTTAATAGCGAATATAAATTAACGTTTAAGATACGTTTCCTTTCTAATGGTTCGCATTCAAAGTGACGGATTCAAGACATACACTCTCCTTTGAAGCACAAGATATCTATTTATATCACATTTTCTCATTGGCCGAGAGTCTTAAAGAGCATTGTATAAAAATACACTCTTAAACAGTCACATCAAGTTTCTTGTGAGAAATATAGATTTGTAAACGAATTTATCGAATTTATTTATCAGATCAAGGAAAGATATCTTTATTTCCCAATTATTACATCGATCCGTATGTACATGATCATTTTATCTGTGTATATTTTGAAATCGTGTTTGAACGATTGTACGCATACATGTCAATATCATCTTTGAAGTTTGCACTGAGAAATAAATTTCCTCCTGCCAGAGAATAAAATGTTCGAGGGAATGAACGATTCCATTCGGGGATTGGAATCGATTAGCTTCTCGAAAGAGAATTACACGGAATTTTATGCCGTATTCTCGGCAGTTTTGCCGAGGAGACGGGAAAAATAATTGCAAAATTAAGCGCGGAAATTAAGGAGAACCGACGCGGGGATTCGCGGAAAAACGCGTCCCATGTTTTCGCGGTGCCCCGCACGCCCGACCCAGAGAGAAGATGCCCCGAAGCGAAGCGAGACTCGACGGCGCCTGCGTGACCATGTGACGCCATTGGCGAACCGGGCAGCTCGTCCGCTAGACATTCAGTCTCGCCTCAGCATCGAATGAGGTTGTATGTGTTTACGGTGCGCACACTGCTCGGCAAAACTACATATCACGGAAGTAGTCGGAGCTCGAGAGTTAATCTCGTGGTCGCGCGTAATCTGTTCGAACGCGCAAAAACAAGCAACACACACGGAATCGCGTGACACGTCCGAGAGAGTCGAGGCTGAGTGCGCGTTATAACGTTTCCTTCTGTCCTGTTCGCCGAGA